TCCACTTTTCATAATTTAGTTAAATACTTGATGCAATAGCTAGCACTAGTAAGAAAGCAAAGTGCGAATGTGAAAATCGTGCATTCAACAATGACTGACTGGACACTAAAATATTTATTTATATCACCAACTCTGCCTAATTCGAAACCAGTATGCTTGCTATTATATTTCTTCATCACTGGACTCGGCAACCTTAACCGATCGAAGAAGCTGTTATCATCTGTTGATGAAGGTTCTCCGCAGTTAGAACTTGTGGATTTCCAAAGTTGCAGCGCAGTGAATGAAGATTTTTCAAGGAAGTGGTACCGCCAAGTTTTGATACGAAAGGATTCAACAGGAGCAGTTCCGTAAGGCTAGAAAAGTTGCCATATTCATCCTTACCACATCTGGCTCAACAAATTAACTTGTGAATCAAGCTTCTCACACATGAATGTCATCAAGACAAACAGTCGAAGATCACTGAGCAATGATAGGCTGCAAGACTGCATGAGAATTGCTCTGACTTTTCACCAGATAAATTTTTTAAAATTAGCTAAAAAACGAAAATGCAGCATTTCCAGTTGATTACATTTTCCATTGTTTTCTTCTGCAGAATATAACCAATAGTCAGCCCTTTGAGGGAAACTAAATTTTTTAAAAGCCCTACTTTGGCTCTTGCCAGGGGCTGCAATATAGCCCGGCCATAAATATGGTCTAATGGCTGAACGTGGTTTCTGGGACCTCTCCACTGGTGATCCTCATTTTGTGTCATCAGGTGTTTATCGCTTGTGTGATGTCCTAGTGGGGTAAAAAAAAAAAAGTTAGAAGATAGATAGATCTGCAGAATATGAAACCAACTGTGAAGAGTTATTATTATTATGACAATGTATTGGAAGTGACCATGGTAAAGTTTATTTATGATCCCAACAAAAGTTGGAAATGCGTGTATTTTAATTAAAAGGTTCGCGGGGCCCTGTTACAGGGAAAACAAGAACAGACCCACTGCCTACTCAAAAAATGTCGCAAGAGTCGACTAATTGGGAGCTTCCTTCGAAGGAGTACATCTGCCCAAGAGTCAAGGAACGAACAGTCTGCATGCAAATGAGTCAGACATGTAAAACGGATGTGTACGCAACACTCAGTTTCTGGAACAGGACTAGAGTTCCAGAAGTAGACGAACAACCAGAACTTTCCGCCAGAGTTTACAGGCGGTGGATACAAAGAGGAAGAAGAAGAAGAAGAAGAAGAAGAAGAAGAAGAAGAAGAAGAAGAAGAAGAAGAAGAAGAAGAAGAAGAAGAAGAAGAAGAAGAAGAAGAAGAAGAAGAAGAAGAAGAAGAATTAGGAGTGAGTATTAATTAATCATTACAGAAGACTGTAGTACAATTTACATTATAATGGTTTACAACACTGCTTCATTTATGAAGGTTAAGTCCTAGGCGTCATAGTTTTCGAGTGTATTAAATCTTAGCCCGCGAGCAAACTCAGTTAAATAGCGCTGCCTGATGGCATGCTTGCTGGGAGACAGTTGTTGTTTTCCCACTACAAATGGGCATCGGAACCCACACGAGTAACGTGATTAACTAGTTATGACTTCATTTATTCAGTCCCAGGTGATACTGAAGCATAGGCTCCATTGGCAAAGAAAATGTCACTAAATAAAATCATAAGTGCGTTGCTTTAAACAAGGTTAAACACATACTGGAAGTAGTCAGTGTGGCACCAGATTTCTTTTGTTATGACCAAAGCTAACAAGTCAGAAGTAACACATTATGTGATAGTCAGGTTTCACATGGAACTGACACATTTTCTTCGCATTAAAAGAGTTACGCTCTGCACCAAGAAAAACTTAAAAGTAAAGATCCGTTTTTAAAGCCATTAAGCGCATCGGGCATATGGGAAGAGCACCCATATATTTACAGCCCAATCGGCACTAAGTGGATTAATGTGGTCACCATTACGCCGGCCGTCTTTACTTCCCCAGGACATGCATCATGGTCCCTATTTAAGGCTGGATCGATTTGCGACGCCCCATACCATGATAAAAAGCCACGCAGCCAACAGTGGGTTTCGATCACGGTACGTTGGAAATACGAATCGAGCTCGCAACGCCTAAGTCACAGACGCGCGCAATAAACATATAAACTGCTGGTATCCGTAAAGCAATAACCCCCATAGTTTCTAGGTGTAATTTGTTAGCTTTGTTTTATCCTAGGAGTTCCACTGTTGGTGGTCCGGGTACAACAAAGGATGAGCTTAGTCCAGATAATATCAGTTAAAGCTAGATCCAAACAGCAGGAAGTGTGTGTCAGTTTTACCAATCACCCCATCCCATCTGACCTTGTTCCTCTTGCACCTTGCGCTGTCAAAATGATGTACAGTTTAAACCAGTGTTCCTCCTACCTGCGCCATCAAAACAGGGTCAATTATTCCACGGCCCAATGCAGACAGCAGTAATAGGATTAAACTCGATGTCACAAACTGACAGTTGTCAGCAAATGTGACGTCTGCTGCTGCTCGGAGGTTATGTGCGGACCGACGGCGTTTCTGGAATCTGAAGGTGTTATTTTTTCACACTTGACTTGTTTGTCATATGGGGTTCTACATGGCGAAGTGGTCAAGCGGTTTGCCTTGCACTCTGAAGGTCTTCGGTTCGTTTTATGGTTGCACCGTTCAGTTCGCGAATACAGTTTCTTACGGACATTACAGGGGATCGTCGCCGGAGCTACGCAGGTCTTGCTGTATGCGGCGCTTTCGGCAGACGGTTAGCCGTTCTGCGGAGGGAGGGGGAGAGAGAGAGAGAGAGAGAGAGAGAGAGAGACAGCTGTATGGGATGACACCCCGTGCAATGTAGTTGATTTTCTCTAAAGGTTAGTTGCGTATCCTTTACAGGACGTTGCAGAACCAACCCCAACAGTCCATGGTTGTTGTGTGTTTTTTTTCTAGGCAAATTTACGTCTAGTAGTTTGCCATTACTTTCTGGAAGGTCGGCTTTCTTGATACCACTGTCGAAACCAACGCAAGGGGCATGGCCTACAGCTGGGATCGATCCTGGCATTGCGAAGCGTTTGCATCGACTTAGCCACAGGGCGATTCTCTCTACTTTAACTTTTAACATGAACATGACTGTAATCATGGAGAAAAAAAAATTACCTACCCTACCCCGTTAAATTTTAACTGGACCACCGGTGGCCGCGGGTTGAAGAACACTTGTATTGACGAAGAGAGAGTGTGCTTCATACTGGGGGTTCATACGGACACTCATTCACATCGGTGTCAAAGTTCGATTGAACTTGATCTTTACACTATTGCTCTTTATGTTATGCTGTCTATCATAGCCGATTTAAATAGCGGACTATTTTCCAATGCCTACATATTCTCTATCGTCCTTTTCAGGATGAAATTTTTTATTTGAAGCTCCACCCTGGCTTTTGCTGGGGGCCGCAATATAGGCAGGCCATAAATATGGCAAAATGTCTGAACGCGGTTTCTGGGACTTCTCCACGGCGATCCTCATCCGCATGGTGGCACTTTGTGTCATCGGGTGTTTATCTCTTGTGTGATGTCCTGGTGGGGTAGAAAGTCAAGTCAGTCCAATGCGCTGCAACAACCCAACCCTTTCTTTGTTAGTTCACCATTACTGATTGACTGTCTTGTAGATTTGTCGAGTGATCTTTCAGCACTCTCTCATCTTAGTTGTTGTTTTGCGGACCAGTGATGCAAAAAACTCCCCCACAAAGGCATTTTATACACAAATAAAATTAGACAGGTAACAAGTAATCCCAGGTTTAGATTGTGCCTAGGGGTGTAAAACGTTAAAGTGTACGCGCGAATGAGGTCACAGCTCAATGTGGGACGCTCACACGTTTCCGTCATCTTCTTTCTTAGCCTGTCTGATAGATCTCTTGATTGTAACATGCGACAGTATGAGAGATTTATCGCACTTGCCTCCATGTGGTAGCCATTTGTGGTGACAAGGTATATGGTTGTGTTCCGGATAATATGCAGATATCTGGATGTGGTAGCCATTGTCTTGTCAAGGTTAGCGTGTGTGCGTGTGTCATCATCATGTGCCCTGCCAACTGGCGTAGGCGCTCATGCTTCTTTCCAGATCACGATCCCTTTTTGCCTAGAACAGCTCTCTTGAGAATATCCCTCCATGCCATCGTTTCAGTTCATCCACATCATCTCTTTTGGTCTGCCTCTACCCCCCCCCCCCCACCTTTTCCCACTGATCTTTCCAGTTGTTACGATGTTCTCCAATGTTTCTGTTCTCATTATATGGCCAAAGAACAGTGTTTGTCTCTTTCTTATTATTGTATATAGATGGTGTGTGTGTGTGTATTCATTAGCACCTTTCCGTCTTTCCAGACGATAGTGTTTTATTGCGCTATGAGGAGACATGGGACTCACAGCCCATGGCGATGGCGAGTGTGACTAGCAAGACCCGTCCGCGTTAAGAAAAATCTTCCACAGTTATAGCATGGGATTTCAGGAACGTTGTTGTCAAAATTTGTCTTTAATCCGTTTCTTTTCAGACGCTCAGCTCTCATTCTTTCTGCAATCATTTCTTCCTTTATTCTCATTTCCTTCCTGATATGCCCTTTCCACACAACACAGTCCTTGTATACATATGTATATGTATGTATGTATATATATATATATATATATATATATATATATATATATATATATATATATAAACACACACACACACGCACGCACGCACACTCCCACACATAACCACTTTGAATTTTTGAAAATTAATTTATGACTTTTTCATCACGGTTACTTCCTGTATTTCCCCATTAAGCCTCAACTCTTTGACTCCCACGGAACGCGTCATACGTTTATAGATTCCTACCTAGAAGCCCAATGAACGCATGATGCGCCGATTTAACGTCTCTCTTGACTACCCCTTCGGCTTGTAACGCTAAAACCCCTGGGACTCAAAGAGTTAAACTAACGAAAGCCTTAAGTTCCGTGTGTCACTTAACCTGGTTCTGTCTTCTGTTATCATCAGCTGGTTGGTGCGGTGGTCGGAGCAGGACTCCTCTTTGGGCTTACGCCGGAAACACACCACGGCGGCCTGGGAACGACAACAGTCAACAAGAAGGTCAATTTGGGCCAAGGTAACTTATACAATGACAATCATCAATATCAAGTGCCTTGCCGGATGGCGTGGGCGATTCAAACCTCATCTGCAACTGTGTGTATCAGTTTGTGTGTTGACTCTCCCTTCTATGCCATGAGAAAAGGCTGTCAAGAATCTTCTCCCACTGTTATCCTCTGTCTCAATTACAATCATCAAGTGGCTTGCCAGCTGGCGTAGGCGTTCATGCATCTCCAGATCTCGGTCTTTGGGTTCTAGATCTATTCCACTGATGATATTCCTCCATGCCTCTGTCTTAAGCCATCATTTCTCTTGGTCTGTCTCTTCTACCAGTGATCTTTTCAGTCGTCACAATATTTTCCAGTGCTCATTTTATCATCACATTACCAAAGAACTCTGTTTGTCTCCTTCCCATTGTTGTATGTACTGTTCTACTTTCAATAGCCACTTGCATGCAATCATTTTGTTAGTATTTCTGGCATTCTAAGGTAATCACAACATTATTCTCAAAGAATGCATATCAATAATTCTAACGGCAAAACAAAAAACCACAACTAGGTTATTGGTTAACCCTTCTCATGGTTTTTAGACAATTGTATGAGAGTCACACCGAGGGACAGCTTCATGCATCCCCAAGTAATATTCCTAAAAACAGCAGTGGTACATTGCAGCTAACCTTCACTGCGGAGATGGTACAGAATAGAAGAACTAGTTATCAGAAGTGACGTCACTTAACTTGGGGCACATCCAAAGGGATTTGTCTTTTTCTTCTTCTGTTCTCTACTCCTAGGATGCCTTGCGGCGTCAGGGCAAGATCTCTGGAACTTTGCAGCGTCTCTGACATTTCCACGGTCCTTCTTCTGTTCTCTACTACTGGAATGCCTTGTGGAGTCAGGGCAAGAAGAGATCTCTGGAACTTTGCAGTGTCTATGACATTTCCACGGTCCTTCTTCTGTTCTCTACTACTGGAATGCCTTGTGGAGTCAGGGCAAGAAGAGATCTCTGGAACTTTGCAGTGTCTATGACATTTCCACGGTCCTTCTTCTGTTCGCTACTACTGGAATGCCTTGTGGAGTCAGGGCAAGAAGAGATCTCTGGAACTTTGCAGTGTCTATGACATTTCCACGGTCCTTCTTCTGTTCTCTACTACTGGAATGCCTTGTGGAGTCAGGGCAAGAAGAGATCTCTGGAACTTTGCAGTGTCTATGACATTTCCACGGTCCTTCTTCTGTTCTCTACTACTGGAATGCCTTGTGGAGTCAGGGCAAGAAGAGATCTCTGGAACTTTGCAGTGTCTATGACATTTCCACGGTCCTTCTTCTGTTCTCTACTACTGGAATGCCTTGTGGAGTCAGGGCAAGAAGAGATCTCTGGAACTTTGCAGTGTCTATGACATTTCCACGGTCCTTCTTCTGTTCTCTACTACTGGAATGCCTTGTGGAGTCAGGGCAAGAAGAGATCTCTGGAACTTTGCAGTGTCTATGACATTTCCACGGTCCTTCTTCTGTTCTCTACTACTGGAATGCCTTGTGGAGTCAGGGCAAGAAGAGATCTCTGGAACTTTGCAGTGTCTATGACATTTCCACGGTCCTTCTTCTGTTCTCTACTACTGGAATGCCTTGTGGAGTCAGGGCAAGAAGAGATCTCTGGAACTTTGCAGTGTCTATGACATTTCCACGGTCCTTCTTCTGTTCTCTACTACTGGAATGCCTTGTGGAGTCAGGGCAAGAAGAGATCTCTGGAACTTTGCAGTGTCTATGACATTTCCACGGTCCTTCTTCTGTTCTCTACTATTGGAATGCCTTGTGGAGTCAGGGCAAGAAGAGATCTCTGGAACTTTGCAGTGTCTATGACATTTCCACGGTCCTTCTTCTGTTCTCTACTACTGGAATGCCTTGTGGAGTCAGGGCAAGAAGAGATCTCTGGAACTTTGCAGTGTCTATGACATTTCCACGGTCCTTCTTCTGTTCTCTACTACTGGAATGCCTTGTGGAGTCAGGGCAAGAAGAGATCTCTGGAACTTTGCAGTGTCTATGACATTTCCACGGTCCTTCTTCTGTTCTCTACTACTGGAATGCCTTGTGGAGTCAGGGCAAGAAGAGATCTCTGGAACTTTGCAGTGTCTATGACATTCCCACGGTCCTTCTTCTGTTCTCTACTACTGGAATGCCTTGTGGAGTCAGGGCAAGAAGAGATCTCTGGAACTTTGCAGTGTCTATGACATTTCCACGGTCCTTCTTCTGTTCTCTACTACTGGAATGCCTTGTGGAGTCAGGGCAGGAAGACATCCTTGAGCAGGCCATTTTGTTCGCTTCGTATAAAGTACTTTTTAGTGTCTCTGGCATTTCTGCGGTCTATCTTCTGCGTACTCGACCTCTGGATCTGTTACCTTTGTCTAACATTGTTCTCTCTGTGCTGCCCTGTCAGACGCCAGTCTTGTCTTTGTCACCACATGTAAAGGCCAGCTACCCCGTTGCACTCCGGTTGGTCTGAGTCTGGTATCAACATCACCTACCTCCCTGCCAGCAGGCGTCTGGGGTCCAGCCAGCCACATTCAGTAGATCGTCAAGTCAGTCAAGCACCGCTTCAACACCTCAGGCACATCCGGCATATGGTGCTGGACCTATATTTTTAGACCAAGTGGTACTCGATAGGTCAGCTCCACACCGGCCGCCTTTACTTTCCATGAAACTCATTTAGGCTGGAAAGACCTGGCAGCCATGGTCAATTTGAAAAAGAAAACTAAAAATAAAAAAAGCGCAGATTTGAACCCTAGACAGTTGACTAATATGATAGCGTTTAGCTACTAGGCTGCGGCTCCTCTACATTATAATAAAATATGCTGGGTCAAATATGAGAGAAAAAGACACAGAGAAAGAGAACGGATTACCTCCGTCCTATTATTTCATCAGTAAATGCAACAACAACAATAAGACGATAATATATGCCATGTGGTAATGCACAACAAGGCCAGTGGACAACATCATGTCTCAGAAACGGGAATATTTTGGCGATATGAGGAGCCACGACTGATGCGAAAGAACAGCAGCAGAAGGCACGGTGCCAGGAGAGAGCGGCAAGAAGATGGTCACTAGATAGAGGTGACACCTTGTGTGAGAAAGTGCACGAGGTAGGAGGTCTGGCGAAACATAGTGTCATTCATGCGGGATGTGATGGGAGCGACGTTCTGCAAAGGACGTGCTACATAATGTTGATTGTCTTTATTTGATAGAATCAGAAGCACACTTCATTGACAGGGATCTGTGCTGCCTTTGAGAACACGAGTGGGACCTTGATAGCGATAATGAAGAAGAGGAACTGGGGGCAGAGAGTGAAACATGGGGGGCGGGGGGGGGGGGGGGGAGAGAAGAGAAGGCTACAACGCAAAAGAAGACGAAATAGAAGAAGGAATCGAACAAGAAGGGGGAGGAAGGTGAAAATACAATGAAATTCAAAAAATGAACGGGAGGAAGATTGGCAGTTAAAATGAAAGACAAATTGCAGAAGAACTGAGAAGTAACATCATCATCAGGTGCCTTGCTGACTGGCGTAGCAGATCATACCTCTCCACAATCTGCGACCTTTAAAGGTATTTTCATTTCATGTGCTGGCATCCCTTCATGACAGGACAAAAAGCTGCAAAGAATCTTTTCACATTGTCTTCCTGTGACTCTTTTCCACAAATATTGCAAATGACCACCACATGTAATGGCTGTAATTGTCGCTTTCACTTTCTACTACACAAGACAAATGCTTGACTTTATTATTATTATTGACTAGAAATACACACCTAGTTTAGTTGGTGGTTACAGTTCAGGCATCACAGCAAACCAGTTGACATCTCGACGGGCGCGAGCACTTGTTCAGACATAGCAGACAGAATGCTTGCTGCATGCTTATGCCGCTCATCAAAGTTGAGTTGAGTCAAGAAGTGACATCACATCACTCGGGGCATTCCCATACACGCTCCATCCCCATCCTCAGCAGCCAGCACAGAGCTCCAATACTAATGGTGCCGGTCTTAGTCTGGTTGTGTGTCTGTCTTGCCTTTCCTCCGAGTGTAGTCAGCAGGCCAGACCCTCTGGACACACCCAGGTGCATCATTCTCTCCAGGCCATAATAATCTAGTTTCTCTTCTGACTTCGTTACGTGTTCCCAAAGGGCCTTGACCACATATGCCTAGCAGCGGTGCAGATCCAACCAATCGGTCTCTGTTTATTCCCCACCACACCAGCATTGCCTGGAGATAAGATCTAAAGTATGCTAGCTGCCCGTGACCTTGCAAGTGAAGCTTGCCACTCTGCTCGAAGCAGTCCTATCTTCACCTTTTTCAGCATGCTTTTAGAGTCTGTTACAATTACGACATGTGTATTTTCTAGCCACAGGCAAGCTGCAGTTACCGCCTCCACCTTCATTGTCATACTAGATGTGGTATCGTAAGTCAGGCTGCCCTGCACTAAAGATTTTCAATTGGCTTTCGCTTCGAAACCTCAGGCACTTCTCTTCCCTCTCTATATACAGAACTATCTGTGTAGATAATGAAATCATCAGGACAAGAATTGTTGTAAATCAACTGTTGGAGTTCCATATCAGTAACCCCCGCTGGCCACTCTCTGCACTCCCGGCCTCATGTGATCATGACCCTACATCGGTCAGACTTTTCCTCTGGTGCCACTTATAAAAAGAAACAATAACATGTGAAAGCTACCACTTACTAGTATTTCGATGCTAGCTGTGCATGCATTCTCTTAACAGTGAAACGACTAGGAGGAAAATATCATGAGATATTCTCCCCAGTGTTATCGTTACCTGCCATCTGGGAATCTTTTCTCTGGGTTATGTCGGTGTGTTGGGAAATGAACAGGTGCACAGACTGGCAGGCTATGCACAACTTGGTGGAATACTGATGCATGATAAAACAGTTGCGGTTTGGGCCTTGTGGGAGAAGGTATAGAATCTGGAGGAGCAAATGGATTACCACAGTCTGGTGAGAGTGATGCAGCGAGGAGTGGCAAGGGAATCAGGCTGATACCTGACGCTTAGAGGAAAGGCAAGACGGACATATAATCCAAATGCTGCTGGCACCGATGGTGTTGGAACTTTGCACTGGCTGCTAAAGATGGGGACCTGAGTGCTGTGATGTCGGCTCTTGAATCTACTCATCTCAACACACATGGAAACTGATAACTGTCTCTTTCTGATGTTTGTCTTCGAGCTTTCGCCTCTGACAAACTGTCTTGGTGAGAAATGATACAGCTACATGGATTCAACTATATCCGCTCTATCCCCAGCTGTCGGTGTGGAGTTCTTCATCACGTTCGTGCTGGTGTTTACTGTGTTCGCATCCTGTGACAGCAAACGGCGAGATCTGAATGGGTCTGCACCGCTGGCCATCGGGTTGTCCGTGACTACATGCCACTTATGGGCGGTAAGTAGAGTTATTTCCCCTGTTACCATTTATACATTGACCAAGATGGTCACAATTTGTGACATCCCAAAATATCCCAACATCAAGGAAGATTCTCCACGTGTGTGGGTGAGAGGAAAGATCATTCCACTGCTCCTGTCTACGTGTGTGGGTGAGAGGAAAGATCATTCCACTGCTCCTGTCTACGTGTGTGGGTGAGAGGAAAGATCATCCAACTGCTCCCCCGCACTAACATGTCGCGAGAGCCGACTAATTAGGGGTGTTTCCTTCACAGTCTGCATACAAATAAGCCAGACCTGTAAAACGATGTGCTAGCAAAACTCAAGTTCTGGAACAAGTCTAAAGTCAGGAAGTAGATGAACATTCACAGTTTACAGTCGGTGAATAATAATAAGATGAAGAAGATGATGATGAAGAAGAGGAAGAGAAGAAGAAAGAAGACTGGTTGGTAAACATCATCTTGTCTCAGAAACTAAAACAGATTGACCTTAACAATTGTCACAGCAGCTTAGAAAGAATAGTGGCAGAAGCTAGCGTGCCAGGACAGAGAGGCAGGGGCCGACCAGCACGAGGATGGGCATAATATATAAGATCTTGTGAAGAAAAATGCACAAAATGGGGGAGCTGGCGAGAGAGTTCCTTTCAGACAGACAGTGATGACAGTGACATTCTGGAAAGGACCTGCTGCATGATGATGCTGACTCTTTATCTCCCTTCGGAGCATAGGCCGTTAAATAACTTGTGCCAAGTATTCTTATTCTTTGGCATTGCATGCGGCACACCTCCTGTCCTGCACGTGTTATCCAAGCCAGTCTCCAATCCTCTTCTCCATTTTATTTTAATTCTTACTCTCTTTGCCTCATGGAGTCCAGTACAAGAATTTGAACAGGACTTTTATCTGGGCCTTGGGTATTGATAATTAAATATCTAACACCCCCAAAGAAAATATGACCAATCCAGACATAATCCTGCCCATCTGGATCTACTGTACTGAATCATGACTCCATGACATTCGAGTATGTATTTACACAAACCAGGTGACCCATAAAAAAAAATACCCATATCACCAGCAACTGCAACCAGCTGGGCATATACTCTGTGTGTTCTTCAGCAATAAAGGACATTCATCAAAATGTGTTTTCAAAAGAATGGGTTTTGTCCTATGAATGAAAACCTTAAAGGACATCCTATAATTCCTTGAAAAACTCTATACCTGTTTCATAACTGTGCATTTACAGAACAAGAATGAGAATACAAAAGACAGAGGTAAGGCATAATGAAGATATCAAAGATGCGTAATGAAGATATCAAAGAGGTGTAATGAAGATATCAAAGAGGTGTAATGAAGATATCAAAGAGGTGTAATGAAGATATCAAAGAGGTGTAATGAAGATATCAAAGATGCGTAATGAAGATATCATAGAGGTGTAATGAAGATATCATAGAGGTGTAATGAAGATATCATAGAGGTGTAATGAAGATATCATAGAGGTGTAATGAAGATATCATAGAGGTGTAATGAAGATATCATAGAGGTGTAATGAAGATATCATAGAGGTGTAATGAAGATATCAAAGAGGTGTAATGAAGATATCATAGAGGTGTAATGAAGATATCAAAGATGCGTAATGAAGATATCATAGAGGTGTAATGAAGATATCATAGAGGTGTAATGAAGATATCATAGAGGTATAATGAAGATATCAAAGAAATCACTTAACAAAAAAGGACTTTATTTTCTACCGCAGAGAAAAGGGTAATCCTCATTCTTTGGGCATCAGTTATCAGAAGGGAAAAGGTGAATAAAGTAAACATCGTGAACACAGAAACATTAAAAGGGGACAGAGTCAGAGGCAAACCACATGATAAGTTTCTGGACAGTTTGACATCATGGTCTGGAAGATCATCTGTGTCAGAAATGAATGACAGTGAACAGAGAATACTAACATCAAAATGCATGTAATAGAAAATACAAATAAAAACAATACCATTCAAGGTCTGGATGACATTCAATCTGCTTGCAAAAGAGGCCAACTATGTGCCTCAGTACACACACACAGACACACATACATATATGTGGTGAGTAGGGAACTCATTGAACGCTTCGTAATGCTGGGATGCCGGGTCCGATCCCAGCTGCGGGCCATGCGCCTTGCGTTTGTTTCGACAGTGGTATAAAGAAAGCCGACCGTCCAGAAAGCAATGGCAAACTACTGGACATAAATCTGCCTAGAAAAACCACACAACAGCCATGGTCTGTTGGAGTTGGTTCTGTAACATCCTGTAAAGGATACGCAACAACCTAGGGAACTCATTATGCTGATGAACATAAATGTTTTGTTGCCAGATTGACTATACGGGCTCCAGCATGAATACGGCCAGGAGTTTTGGTCCCGCCCTGGTCATGGGCGAGTGGGAGGATCACTGGGTGAGTATTAGATGAGGAGGAGGAAGGGTCTTTGGGTGAGTGTTACACGAAATGGGAGGGTCATTAGGTGAATATTACAAGCTGAGTAAGAGTTGTGAAGGATTGGGTGGGTTGCTAAATGATACTAAGTGACTAGTTTCAGACAGTGATGAGATCATGTGGTGAGTGTAAAGCACTGGGTTACAAGCAGTGAATGAACGCTGGGTGGGTACAGGGCCTTTCAAGTATAGAAGTTATCTTTTAAAATTAATGTTTATATTATCATCCTCATCAGGTGCCTTGCCGACTGGCTTGGGCGATCATGCCTCTTCACAATCTGTGATCTCAGTTCGTGTGCCGACACACCTCCATGCCATGCAACAAGAGACTGTCAAGCATCTTCTCTCGCCGTGTTCCTCGATCCCCCCTTCCACAGATCTTTCCAGTGGTCACACCATGTTCTATTTTCCCTCCTCTCACAACACGGCCGAAAAACGATGACTGTCTCCTTCTGATGTCTGTGATAAGTTGTCATCTGGCTCCCGCCTCTTTTAAAACCTCTAGGTTGCTCTTTTTTGGCTGTCCAAGGTATTCTAAGCATTCTTCTGTAAAACCACATCTCCAAGGCCTCAAGAAATTGTTTGGCCTGCCTACCGATTGTCCAGGATTCACAGCCATATGTTAAAACTAATTGTATGTAGCAAGCAAGAATTCTTTTTCTAACTCTCAATGACAAAGATATATTGCACAAGATGTTCTTAATTTTATAAAATGTAGTTTTTGCCCGTCCTATTCTGTTTCTTATCGCGGTTATGCATCTTCTATCTGATGTTTTCCATGTGCCCAGATACTTAAATGTATGTACTTGTCTCAAAATAACAGTCAACCTTTATTACACATTTAGGAATAATTCGTTTCTTTGAAACCACCATTACTTCTGTCTTCCCATTATTCAAACTGAGGCCCATTCTTCCATTTTCTAACACCACAATGTCTATCATTTCCTGTAGTTCTTTCTGACTTGTTGCTATCAAGACTGTGTCATCTGCATAATGTAAATTGTCTATATTGTGCCCACCAACCACAATTCCGGGCATATCAATTAAAGATCTCATTATATATTCACTATATATTGAAAACAAATCAGGTTTCAGTACACATCCTTGTCATACGCCCCTCTTTATGCTTGGAAATGTACCTAAACAGTTGTTATTTCTTATAGCTGCTGTTTGCTGCCAATACATATTCTTTATTATTCATAGATCTTTTTCATCAGTGTTTAATTTTTCTAACAGCTTGATTACTTCTTCATGCTTCACACAGTCAAATGCTTTTGTATAGTCTATGAAGCATAAGTACAAATCAGTCTTTACTTCTATAGCTCTTTGTGAAAATTTCCTTAGGATGTATATGGCATTGTTTGTACCTTTTCCTTCTATTTATGTTTATATACATAATTTTGTTTCAAAAATATTATTGTAATAATCTGCCTCTGGCAAAATATTATGATTCCATGAGCATGATTAAGAAGATAGAGACAGAATGGATTCAAAGAAAATGGCTGAAGTCGTTAAGGAAATCTTGTCTGAAAGGAGTTAGTTTCATTGTTGTTCCAGGACATGTAGGGCAGGGCTACCACTGATGGGTTTTACCCCCAGATTTGGGTTTTTATTCGATGCCTTGCGTTCAGATTCTTGAAATCTGGGTTTAAAAAAAATATATCCTTATATAAAAGTGGGTAAAAGTTTTGTTTCCTAACTATACAATTTAAACTTTTTAACAATCTGGGTTTTTTATTTTGCTTTTTTGTTCTTCGCTCATGTATTGCTTGGGCTTTTTAAGTCAGCTTACCTGGGTTTTTAAAAAAAATCCCATTGGCAGCCCTGATCTAGGGGAAGAAGGAATGAACCAACAGACTGACTTGCTGGCGGGGCCATGGGCAGGGCAGGAAAAGCAGTGTACCATGTCAGCATTCTCAGTGCTCAAGGACTCAAAAGACTTCAAGAACTTCAGGTCAAAAGAGGTGTCGGCAAACATGAACACTATACAGGTAGCCAAAGAAGAGCAGTAAACCAACACTGAACTGGTGTGATCAGTCGATACACGCTGAGGGATATGCTAAAGATAGGATCTGAGCACTTATGGGCCTGTCTGATGTTCACTGGGGATAATCTGTCAATTAACTAAGAAGCTAAATATTCTTATTATTATTCTTATTACTATTATACAAAGGCTTAGATCACTGCAGCCACCCCCCTCCCCACCCCTCTCCCCAAGGCCTTAATTTCTGTGTGTGATGGCCCCTTGCCCTCACTGAGGTTCTAGAGCATCATTAATCTAATCTATCTGTGCAGGTGTACTGGCTAGAGCCCCTTGCCCTGACTGAGGTTCTAGAGCATCATTAATCTAATCTATCTGTGCAGGTGTTCTGGCTAGGGCCCCTTGCCCTCACTGAGGTTCTATAGCATCATTAATCTAATCTAACTATGCATGTGTACAGGCTAGGGCCCCTTGCCCTTGCTGAGGTTCTTGAGCATCATTTATCTAATCTATCTGTGCAGGTCTACTGGCTAGGGCCTCTGCTTGGAGGCCTGGTAGCAGGACTGTTGTATGAGCACCTGTTTGCAGTCAATGCCAGCCTTCTCAAGGCCAAAGCCTGTCTCCTGTCCAGCGACTACGATGATGATAAATACAAGGCTAAACGAATTAAGGTAAGTGGTATTATCACAACCCATCCACACCTGACTGCAGGTTACACTGTAACTATTTTGTACTGGCCAAATATTGAACGGGGTTTCCAAGATTTCTACCAGTTTAATTCTCAACCTTCAGATGTTAGTCCCTAGAAAAGGCAAATAGGGAGGGTAAAATATGTTACATTCTTTTTTTTTTTTTTTTAAATATAAATACAATTTAAAAAATAAATAACAGTAAAAAAATAACAATATCCCTACTCTATGTTATCAGTGCCAAACATGGACAATGAATGGGGCACTAGAACGGAAAATAATTGCATGTGAAATGCCCTATCTCCGCAAGATCACTAACAACACTATACTAGACAGGGTTACGAATACCAGCATTAGAGAGAACGTTGAAAAAAGACCATATCTGGATTATATTGACAGACAAAAAATGAAATGGTTCGGCCATCTAGTGAGAATGCAGCCAGACCAGATTCCATATGAGACTTTTTACAGCAGAACTTTTGGGAGGAAGGCAAGAGGAAGACTAAGAAAGAGATGGATAAATGGTGTAGTCGAAACCTGCAACAATTTGAACAAATCCATCACCTTAGCCACCCGAGAAGCTCAAGACAAATACAGAAAGCCAGGACACTGGGCTACAACCTGGTATCAGTGAGATGACAAAACCACGACACTGGGCTACAACCTGGTATCAGTGAGATGACAAAACTATGAGACTGGGCTACAACCTGGTATCAATGAGCCGACAAAACTATGAGACTGGGCTACAACCTGGTATCAGTGAGATGACAAAACTATGAGACTGGGCTACAACCTGGTATCAATGAGCCGACAAAACTATGAGACTGGGCTACAACCTGGTATCAATGAGCCGACAAAACTATGAGACTGGGCTACAACCTGGTATCAGTGAGATGACAAAACCACGACACTGGGCTACAACCTGGTATCAGTGAGACGACAAAAGCAGGACACTGGGCTACAACCTGGTAACAGTCAGACGACAAAACCACGACACTGGGCTACAACCTGGGATCAGTCAGACGACAAAACCACGACACTGGGCTACAACCTGGGATCAGTCAGACGACAAAACCACGACACTGGGCTACAACCTGGCATCAATGAGCTAACAAAACTATGAGACTGGGCTACAACCTGGTATCAGTGAGATGACAAAACCAGGATACTGAGCTATAACCTAGTATCAGTGAGACGACAAAAGAAGAGAAAGAGAAAAAAAAAATGGAACAGAAAAATTGAATTAATTAAACAATAAATAGATTAGAGTAAGGTCAACTATTGATGAAGATGCTAGCAAAGAGTGCAAGCTGATAGTTTAGAAGAAATCAAGTTGCAGTCTACGGTTACGAGAAGAAGCAAAGAGGAACATTGTTGTAATCACTAGAAAGATCTGTGGAAAAAGAGGCAGAGAAAAACAACCCGAGAAGATTCTTGACAGCCTTATGTCATAGCACCTTGGGGTGTCGGCACATAAACCAGTACATTCTGTTGAAGATTGCAGATTGTGGAGAGGCATGATAGCCACTACCAGTCAACAAGGCACTTGATAATGATAGTCTATTGTTGATAGAATCAAAAGGAATCCCTTCCTAAAAGATATTTTAAAACAGACTATACAATTTATTGGTGATGAAATCCTGATGATATTTTAGAATAGACTATACCTTCTACTGGGTTGAAGATGTGCTGAAATTTTAGACTAGACTATACCTTTTATTGGTGATAAAGACGGGCTATTAGTTTAGAACAGACTATACCTTCTATTGGAATGAAGACGTGCTGATATTTTAGAACAGACTATACCTTCTATTAGGATGAAAATGTGCTGATATTTTAAAATAGACTATACCTTCTATTGGTGATGAAGATGTGATGATATTTTACAACACCTCACTGTTCCTATTTTTATTATGATCTTTTCTTCATATGTTGTCACATCACCTTCATTATTCTTATGAACATAACTTTCATTATGATCATCACAAACATAATTCCCATAATTATCATCAATATAATTTACACCATCTTTTCATTATCATGCACATAATTTCCATAATTATCATCAATATGATTTTCATCATCTTGTTATGATCATAAACTTAAACATAATTCCATAATTATCATAAATATATATTTCACCATTAAGCTAACAGTGCCAAACATGGACACTATCTAAAGCCCATTTACACAAAATTACCACCTGTGAGATGAGGTGCCTGAGAAAAGCAGCCAACCTAACCATACGAGATGGAGTGAATAATGAAACTATCAGGCAAATTGTGGGAACGACACCTTGTACTAGATTCATCGAGAAACAGCAGATCAAGTGATTTGGCCATCTTGTTAGAATGCCGCAAGATCAAATACCATCACTAGCACTACATCTCAGAATATCAGCTACAAGAGCAAGAGGACGGCCACGGAAAATGTGGATCGACAACATCAAAGACACTCTATGCCTTCACAGCATGACAATAGCCAGTGGCAGCCAACGTGCATTGGATCGCAAATTATTCCTCCCCACAACACTTAACGGCAGAAGTGGTTTATGAAGATGATGATGATGATAAATTTCACCATCCTTTCTTAGCATCTTCAAAATAATTTCCATAATCTTCATCTTCTTCTTCTTTGCATTCACCGGCTGTAGTTTCTATCTGATAGTTCTGTTTTGTTTATCCACTTCTGGACTTGAGTCATGTTTCTAAAACTTGACTTCCACTTGTATTTCTGTTTAAAAGATCTGGCTTATTTGTATGCAGACTATTGGTTTCTTGCCTCTCAGGCAGATGCGCTTCGACTTCAAAGGGGATCCCTAATTAGTTGACTCTTATGACATGCTTGTTGAGGAGGCGGTGGGTCTCTTCTCGTTTGTCCCCCACCCCCCTCCCCACAGTGAGGCCTATAAACACACACAGGGAATTTTCATAATTATCATCAATAATATTTTCACCATCATCATAAACATAATTTCTATCATCATCAAAATTTATACCATCATCATAAACATAATTTCCATCATCATCATAATTTATATCATTATCATAAACATAATTTCCATCATCATCATAATTTCCACCATCAACAAAAACATAATTTCTATCATCATCATAAATATAATTTCCACCATCAACATAAACATAATTTCCACCATCATCATAAAAATAATTTCCACCATCATCAGAAACATAATTTCCACCATCAACATAAACATAATTTCCACCATCAACATGAACATTTCAATTATCATTAGAAACATAATTTCCATCATCATCAGAAACATAATTTCCATCATCATCATCATTTCCATCATCATCAATATAATTTCCACCACCAACATAAACATAATTTCCACCATCAACATAAACATAATTTCAACCATCAACATAAACATAATTTCCACCATCAACATAAACATAATTTCAACCATCAACATAAACATAATTTCAACCATCAACATAAACATAATTTCCACCATCAACATAAACATAATTTCCTTCATCATCAGAAACATAATTTCTATCATCTTCCTAAACATAATTTCAATCATCATCATTAACATAATTTTAGTCATCATCATCAACATAATTTTCATCATCATAAACATAATTTCAATCATCAAAATAAACATAATTTCAGTCATCATCATCAACATAGTTTGAGTCATCCTCATCATAAACATAATTTCCATCATCATCGTAAACATAATTTCAATCATCATCATAACATAATTTCAATCATCATCATAAACATAATTTCAAACATCATCATCAACATAATTTCAGTCATCATCATCATAAACATTATTTCCATCACCATCATAAACATAATTTCCATCATCATCATAAACATAATTTCCATCATCATCAATATAATTTCCACCACCAACATAAACATAATTTCCACCATCAACATAAACATAATTTCAACCATCAACATAAACATAATTTCCACCATCAACATAAACATAATTTCAACCATCAACATAATTTCAACCATCAACATAAACATAATTTCCACCATCAACATAAACATAATTTCCTTCATCATCAGAAAACATAATTTCTATCATCATCCTAAACATAATTTCAATCATCATCATTAACATAATTTTAGTCATCATCATCAACATAATTTTCATCATCATAAACATAATTTCAATCATCATAATAAACATAATTTCAGTCATCATCATCAACATAGTTTCAGTCATCATCATCATAAACATAATTTCCATCATCATCGTAAACATAATTTCAATCATCATCATAACATAATTTCAATCATCATCATAAACATAATTTCAAACATCATCATCAACATAATTTCAGTCATCATCATCATAAACATTATTTCCATCACCATCATAAACATAATTTCCATCATCATCATAAACATAATTTCCATCATCATCAATATAATTTCCACCACCAACTTAAACATAATTTCCACCATCAACATAAACATAATTTCAACCATCAACATAAACATAATTTCCACCATCAACATAAACATAATTTCAACCATCAACATAATTTCAACCATCAACATAAACATAATTTCCACCATCAACATAAACATAATTTCCTTCATCATCAGAAACATAATTTCTATCATCATCCTAAACATAATTTCAATCATCATCATTAACATAATTTTAGTCATCATCATCAACATAATTTTCATCATCATAAACATAATTTCAATCATCATAATAAACATAATTTCAGTCATCATCATCAACATAGTTTCAGTCATCATCATCATAAACATAATTTCCATCATCATCGTAAACATAATTTCAATCATCATCATAACATAATTTCAATCATCATCATAAACATAATTTCAAACATCATCATCAACATAATTTCAGTCATCATCATCATAAACATAATTTCCATCATCATCATAAACATAATTTATATCATCACCATAAACATAATTTCCATCATCATCAAAAAAAGTTTGGATTCTCG